CCCCCCCCCCCCCCCCCCAATCAATGAAAAACAATACCCTTGAGTGAGGATTTAAAATTAACACATATTTTTGGTCCAAGATATATAGAGAATCAAACAATTGAGAAGTGTTTAAACGAAAAGTTAAAGTCCCCCGTGAGTCTCGTTCCCCACCCGTCATGCCTAGTCCAGTGTGCATGCCTTACCTCTCTAGGTTTCCTCCTTATTAACGTAGATACATCATCATCTAGCAACTTGCCTCTCTCACTGGACAAGATGTAGTAAAGGAATTGTGGGCTCCCGTCCCTGTCCTGTGCCCTCCAGTCCGGCTGGGCATCCATGTGTTTGCCTGGCCCTTTCTTCACGGGTTTGGCCTTCTCTCCCACTTCTTCCGTGACAGGGTGCGGTCAGGGCGTAGCTGTGGACACGCATCAGGGAGCACACACCTGAGCACAGTTGACCCCTGAGCAGTGGGAGGTCGGGGCGCCGGCTGCCTCTGCGGTGGGAGATCTCACCTCTCTGCAGCTGGCCCTCCACAGACTCAGATTCCCTGCCACAGGCTGGCCTCTGAACAACACGGGCCTGAGCTGCACCGGCCGATTGACAGAAATCCGCATATACGTGCGTCTGCCCAGTTAAAGCAGGAACGGCTCAGGGTCAGCTTATCCCCAGGGGTCATTAACATTTGAGCAACAATGTCTCGTTGCCCTAAAAGGTTGCACTGATCTATGCACTTTCATGTTTTTCATCAACTTAGCTGGTATCCTCTTTTTAACATTTGATAATCTTGTGAGCAAGCAAAAAGTCTCATTTTAAACATTTGCCTTTTTACAATGCTTCATGCTGAGTGGCTTCTAGCCGCTGGGTCCCCTTTCCCGTGTGGCTGACTGGCCCGTGGGAGGACCCTGAGCCCCTAAGAGGGTGCTCACCCCTGAGTGTATCCCCCAGGTGTACTTCCGCCTCCACGCCTCCATCCTGAAGCTCCTGGGGAAGCCTGAGTTTGGGGTTGGTGCCGAGGTCCTGGTCAACTTCATGCAGGAGGCAGCAGAAGGGCCCTTTGCCAGGGGCGAGGAGAAGAACACGCCCAAAGCTTCAGAAAAGTAAGTGCACACTCCCCCGGCCGCTTGTCCCGTGTCCCGGGAGGGTCATTCATGGCAAGGGGCCAAGAGGGCTGCTGAGGAGACCAGAGTTCTTGGAGCCTCTGGACCTCACCTGGAGATTCCTGAGGCCGGGCTGAGGCATTGCTGTTGAACTTGAGAAGAAGGGGCTGTGTCCCCTCACCCTGTGGCCATGCCTGGTCCCCCCATCCCCTTCCCGCCGGGGCGCAGTTCCGCCTGTGCAGAACCCTGGGGGAGCAGTTCTCACGCTGCTGCCTCTTGCTCCTGGGGCCTCTCCCACCCATTGTTCCAAGAAGCAGGGAGGGGTGTGGGAGGCATGGGCTCTGCGGCGTCAGAGGGCTCGAGGGTGCTGCGGCCCTGGTGTAGCCCCCATATTGGGCCTGGCACAGTCCCCCCGGCCTCCCCTTGACTGAGTTGTGTCTCTGGAGGTCTAGATGCTGGAGCTTTGGCTCAGCTCGCCCCACTTCTGGACCTCTGCCCGGCCGGGCACTGGGCAGGGCCCCGCTGAGTGCCGCAGGGGCCAGCACCAGGCCCTGGCCTCGAGGACGGGCTGACGGGCACACAAGGCACACACGGCAGGTCACACGGGAGACTCGGAATGCCCCAAAGCTAGAGAGACGTGTTTGTCAGTCACCAAGGGCTCCCAACTAGTGGTGTGATCTTTCGTTTCTCATACTTCTTTTTCAAGAAATTTAGAAGTTATACAAATGATACATGAATATATTCTAGTTACAGAAAATTCTGGCAGTTTATAAGCATATAGACAAACCCCCTCTCCTCCCCAGAGTTCATCGCTGTTCACTGTTTAGTTTCTCAAGTCGTTTTCTGTGCATTTGCACACTTACATGTACAAACACAATGACAGGGTTTCTTTAGTGAAAACGAAGACTGAAGGTGTTTTCTTTTTCCCTGACAATGGGCCTGGGACCCATCCCCAGAGATAGTGCCCCGCATTCCTCATTCTTTCTAGTGAAATCACATGAAATTTTTCTAGAGCAGCGATTCTCAACCTGTGGGTCGCGACCCTTTGGGGGTTGAACGATCCTTTCACAGGGGTCGCCTAAGACCATTGGAAAATACATAATTACATATTGTTTTTGTGATTAATCACTGCTTTAATTATGTTTAATTTGTAACAATAAAATTGGGGGTCACCACAACATGAGGAACTATATTAAAGGGTCGCGGCATTAGGAAGGTGGAGAACCACTGGTCTAGTGGCTGCAGTGGCCGGAGGCTCTGTCCTTCCCACAGCATGGATGTCCTTGTTCCCGTGGCCATGGCGACAGGCCAGGTGTTTCTAGCTCTGCTCGGCAGGTGGCAGCGATGTCCCTGGCACGAGAGCAGGCGTTCTCGGTGCCTGGTGGGGGGTTAGCCTCTCGGCCTCGGCCATCGCACAGAAGGACCTGAATTGGTGTGGCGGGCATTTCTGAGGCGGGCTTCTTCCGGCCCCCCAGTCTCCGAGGCCTGAGACCTGAGCCGCCTGCAGAGCCCAGCCATATTGGGGGCTGGGCCTGATGGGTACCTTGTGGGCCGCTCCTTCGGGGCCTGGGACACCAGCCAGAGGGGTGTGGGGGAGGGCCTGGGAGCTGGGCCCCGGGAAGGGTGGCTTGGGGACTCGACAGCTGGGAGGGGCATTGTCCAGCCTGGCATGCGTCCTTTGGTGCCATGTGAGCGGCTGACCTGCACCCCCTCTGCCCCACAGGGAGAAGGCCTGCCTGGTGGACGAGGACTCCCGCTCTTCAGCTGGGACACTGCCGGGCCCCGGAGCCTCCCTTCCCTCCTCCTCTGGCCCAGGTCTGACATCCCCACCTTACACAGCCACTCCGATTGACCACGATTACATCAAATGTAAAAAACCCCACCAGCAGGCGACGCCGGACGGTACAGTCCCTGTTCTCCCTACTGCCAGCCCAGGGCGGCACGCCAGCCGGGGGCGGGAGCTTTGGGCGATGAGTCGCTTTGTTTCGGTGAGGGGGGTGCTGGGTCTGGGGTGACACGGGCAATGTTGTGGCTGTTCATTAACCTCATGGACTCACGGTGATTCTGTGCTTCCAAGACGTGCTCAGGGTCGCCACCTGCCAGCTCGCCCACTGGGAGCCGGGGTGGGTGAGGCGGGCTGAAGCTCCGTGCCTGCCTCTCGGAGCCTGCATTCTCCCCCCTGCAAATTGGGGGCCTAGAAGGGCAGTTGGAAGACGGGGGGCTTGCGGTCGGTCTGCGGGCGGCCTAGCGTGGCTCCCATGCAGTCGGCTGCACTATTATGGCATGCCCTTCTGGCGGTCATGGGCAGGCGATGACCGTCGACACCCCTGGGAATCTAGACAGCTTGGGGGGTGTCAGCTGGGACTGCACAAGGCCATCCACGTGGGATGGGGCAGGTGGCGACTGTTGAACCACATTCCTTACTAACATTTGGAGGCTCGCATGCGCCCTCGCAGCTCGACTTCATGCCCTCACGTGTCTAGTGATGAGCTGGGGACAGGGTGTTCGCCGGAATGAGCCAATGGCGGACTTAGCAGTAGGGCCTTTAACGCAGAGCCTCGAGGAGGTGGTGGCCTGCTGAACGACACCAGCTTCCCGCGCGCCGCTCATCTCCCCGGGGCTGTGGGGTGGGCCTCGCTCTGCCTTCCCCCGGGCACCGTGCAGTGCGTGGGTGGAGAGCAGGGGTAGAGGAGGGCTGGCGAAGGGGGGCAAGGGGACATGTGACCTGAGAGCAAGGAGACCTCAGGGTCCCCTCCGGGGCTCAGGTTGGCCCAAGTGTGTGGAGAGAGAGGCTGCGGCTCCCAGTGTGTGCTGGTGGCTGTCGCCTCCGGTCGCTCTGGCTGTTGGGCCCCGACTGCCCAGAGGGGTGAGGAGAGGTGGGAATAACGGCTGCCTGCCCCCCAGGCTGCCGTCTGAGACATTCCCACAGCGAGGACCTGCTCCCTCCTGGTCACCTCCACGCTCTCCCTCATGAGAACCCCGAGAAGGCGCTGGAAGCCAAGCCTGCTCAGGGCTTCGTTTCATCAGGGCTCCCGTGCGCTGAAGCACTTGCTGCTTTTCCAGAGCGAGGGCTGCTGCTCCCCTGGCCCACGGCCTGGCTGCAGCCTCCTCAGCCCTCGGGCTCGAGCCAAGCTCAGGGAGCGGGATTGTGCTTGGCTGTCCGTCCACAGAGCGGGGGTGCCTCCCCTGGTGCAGGCACCCCGGGGAGCAGCGAGGAGGCAGGACTGCCTCAGACAGCGGCTGTGGTGCCACCTGGCACTGCCACCCAGCCATCCCACGTTGGCGCACACGTGCACAGAGCTGTGGGCGAGCAAGATGCTGGGGCCTGGAGCTGTTGTGACACGTCCTGGCTGCCGATATAAGGGATGTTTGTGGTGGAAGTTTGCAGAGGGAGCCACACAAGTGCGTTTTCAATGGTTGTAAAACTGATTCCTGTCAGGATAGGGAGCCATTGAGATCCCATGGCCCACTTTGCTCAGCCCCAGCCCGTGTGCCAGAAAGCCTGCAGCGGGTCTTAGGAGGGGAGGCCGGGAGGAACCAGTGATTGCACAGCTCATGGTTGGGTGCAACTGAAATTCCCAGAGACTGGCCTGGCCTCTTGGTGGGGTGGGAGGCTTTCTGAGGAGGCAGAGCTGAGCCAGGATCTCGGATATGCTGCTATTTCCTTCACAGGGTGGGCAGGAGGGACCAGGCAGGGGTCAGAGGAGGGAGGACGGGAGGGGCTGCTGTCCATGGTTCATGAACAGAGGCTGCCCTGAACCCCAAGTTATAGGGCTGCCTGGCGTGGCTCCCATGCAGTCAGCTGCACTATATGGCATGTCCTCTGGCGGTCATGTGCGGGCAGGGTGGACCTCCCAGGAGCGTCCAGGTACCTGTGCCACCCCCACGCGACATTCATCCTCACCTGCCATGCTTCACCATCTGTGTCGTGTCCTGTGTGCTCGCTCCCGCTGCTCGCCCACCCTCCTCCGCCAGCATTGCCCGTGCTGCCCCTCACCCGGCCACACTGTCCCCAGGCTTTGTCGTTTGTCTGCACTGTCACGGCTCGCTTCAGGGGACAGCGCAGACCGCATGCTCCGCCCGAGTCCGGCTCCCTGCTGCCTGTGACCCGAGCACCTGCACAGCTGCTGGTCTGAGCTGGAGAGTGTGTTTGATGTGCCTGGCTTCTGCCCTGTCCCATCTCCCCAGCGCTGGGCGGAGGCAGTGCCGCCGTGCCTGCCCGCCTGCCGCCCGGCAGGTGTCTCAGTCCTGTATTCCCATTGCTTCGCTCTTTCTTGCTTTAAAGAAACAACAAAGGCAACAGACTCTCAGATCCCAGGTCACCTTTGTAAGGACAGGTGTAAAAGGACAAGTGTGCGCAGTAGCCAAGGTGCTACAGGGAGAAGCTCCGATGGCAGGCAGTGCTGGAGGGCAGGCCTGGCCTGTCCCTGCTCACAGCCGCCCTTCCCAGGGGAAGCTGTGTCCATGGACAGATCTCAAAGTGGGAGAGACTCCGAGTGCAGCTCAGTTCGTCTTGCGTGTCCCCCACGGAGTGGGGACTGGCTTGGGGGCAGGGAGGGAGGCTGTTGGAGGGCGGAGCCAGGCACCTCATTTATTCTCCTTCATGCCTACCTTTTATAAAACCTCTTCGGGTGCCTGGCCGCTGTTTCCTGGTGGCAGAGTGTCCGCCTGTGCACCGAAGGGTTGCAGGTTCGATTCCTGGTCAAGGGAATGTATTTAGGTTGCAGGTTTGAACCCCGCCCCAGTCAGGGCACAGGTGGGAGGCAACCAATCAACGTGTCTCTCTCAAATCGATGTGTGTGTGTCTCCCCCGACCCCTTCCACTCTCTCTAAAAAATAAATAAATCCTTAGGTGAGGATTAGCCAAAATAAAAAGCCTGTTGAGGCCACAGCTGGTCATGGAGATGATCGAGTGCCTGCTGTGTGCTAAGATGGAAGAGGGCGCCGTAGGGAAAGCCAAGATGGGGCCCCCTCGCCCCTGCTGCCTGGTTGTGCTGTGTGTCTACAGGCGGTGCCATGGAGCAGCGGTCGGTGCCTGAGCTGGCTCTGGGGTTTGGTGGGTTTGAGGACTTGCTGGCGGGAGCAGGCCTGCAGAGAGGCCTTTGGGTCATTTTGGGTGACGACAGTGGGAGCAGAGACATGGAGGTTGGAGAGTCTGGCCTTTGAGTTCCGAGGTGACCAGGGTGGGCAGGAGAGGAGAGAGCGTGGGAAACAGCTGGGCCACCGGGGCTGCTTTCCCGTAGGACGTAGGGAGTGACGTGGTCATGGCATCTCTCTGTTAAGTGGGTTGGCAGCCTTCCTGTCACCACGCCAGATCCCTTCCCCGTCGCCAGCTCTCACTGCTCTGCGCTTGGCCCTGCGGGTCGTGCTCTGAAGCAAAGGGGCCAGGGCTTAGGAGCAGGTGCGTCAGCAGCAGCTGGCTGGCGATGCGCATCCCTCTAGGACGCAGCAGAGGGGCTGGACCGGCCCAAAGATGGAAGTGAAATGCCCGTGGTTGGCAGTGAGGGAGGAAGTAATTATGATCTTGCACAATCTGAATTGGTGTGAGCAGGCTTTGTGTGGGCAGGCTTCAAAAGAGCTCTCGGAAGAAGCGCAGGGCAGCCTGTCGCCTGCTCACGGGGGCCAATCTCCTTCCTCCTTGGCCTGCAGGCAGCGCTGCAGGACACCGGAGCCGGGCTGCGGGCAGTGCCTGGGTCTCCTTCAGTGTGCCTGCTTCCCCGCTCTGTGGGCCGCTTGGCTCTCCGACACAGAAGCAGTATCCGTCCACCTCCTGCTCTGTCTCAGGCCCAGGGACCAGGGGAAGCCCGGCCTGGGTCCCTCTGCAGAACCGGCAGGTGTCTGTGGGCCCTTGCCCTCCCCACTCCCCCCCCCCCTCCCCCCCGCCGCCCGCCTCCACCAGGCAGGCAGGAGAGTAGAGGGTGCTGCCACCAGGATTGGCATCCTTTGCCTGCAGAGCATCAGCAGACCCACCTGGTTCTTCTCAGCACAGGCCAGTGCCCTGGGCGCGTCCCGCTGTGCCCGGCTTGTACCTGGGCCTCTGGGGTGTGGAGGAAGCACCCCAGGCCATGAGTGCGCGGGGACACAACGCCATATGTCAGCGCCTTCAGAACCTTGGCCTACATACAAGTCCCCGATGAGGACTGACACTCAGAGACTGCTTGTGGAGGAGGTGGGGCTAGAGCCAGGCCGGGAAGCTCGGCCAGTTGCTGGAAGCTGAGTGTCCCCAGGTCAGAACAGCCCGCCCTCCATACACATCCTGGCTCCCCATGCGCCTTCATCAAGGTGCGGGCGGGAGGCTGAGCAGGTGGTGCTGGAGGCAGGCGGAGTGTGGCTCAGGGGGGTCCTTGCCCAGAGGCACCGAGCTTTGGGCGGAGTGTGTGTCCAGGGCTCTTTGCTTCCTCACCCAGAGGAGCCTCCCCAATGCCGGCCAGGCCTAATCAGGCTCATGCCCTGGGTACCCTGGCCTGTGAGTTGACCGAGACAGAGGGGCCTTGTGGGAGTGGGGAGCGGGGAGGGACCAGTGGCATCCTCCCCTCTCCTGCCCCTGCAGCCGCTTCGGGCAGGAGCAACCCCAGTCCAGAGTGCCCTCTGGTCTCTGCTCCCCCCTCCCCCGCTGCCACCTGCCCGCCAGCTCCTCTGGCTCCAGCGTTCTGTGGCTGGACCTGGTCTCCGAGGCCAGCTTCCCAGCCCTGTGAGCCTTCCCCGTCGCATCTGGCCCAGCGTGGCTGCTGGCAGGGTGGCCCTCACCGCAAATCCCCCCCCAGCCCTCCCTTGTAGTCTCACCGAGGCCGTGGGTTTGCTGTGCCAGGGAAGGTCCCGTTTACAGGGGAGGAGGGCAAGGTGAGGTGCCCCGGTCTGTGGAGTGACTTTTTAAAAGAGCTTCTTCATTCTTTCACTCTCTTGATGTAAAAGAAATGAAATGTCGTATTCTTTTGCTCTGACTTGCTTCTTGGTGTGAAACCCTGGGTTGCTTCTTAGTATTTAAAATTAGGAACATTTAATATTTTAAGTTTTATTTCTTTTATTTTTGTTAATTCTCACCTGAGGAGATTTTTCTATTGCTTGTTTTGTTTCTTTTTAGAGAAAGTGGAAAGGAGAGAGGAGAAGAGACAGCGAGAAACATCCATGTGAGAGAGACATAGCGATTGGTTGCCTTTCCCACGTGTGGGGCAGGAATCAAACCTGCAACCCAGGTCCGCGCTCTAGGTTGGGAATTGAGTCCGCCCCTTCGGTGCATGGGCCCACACTCCAGCCAACCACTGAGCGATGCGGCCAGGGCCAACCAGGGTCATTGCAAAGAGCCTGTGCCAGCCCTTTCAGGCGCACAAGACCCAGGAGGGCTAGAGAGAAGCCTGGCCCTGAGTGCCTGGTGGTGGCTGTTCGCAGCGATGCACTTGTTCTGTTCCTGGGTGTGTGGTCCCCCAGCAGCACCTGGACAAGCATGGCCCCGCCCCCCTTGCTTCGCAGGCCTGGGGAGGAGGGGGTGCCGCTCCAGCCGGGGGCTTCGAGTGCACAGTCCCACCTCCAGATCTGACCCAGCCGCCCGCAGGGAGCACAACCCTCTCCCTGCCCCTCTGAGCACCAGACCTTCTCAGGGCCTCATAGGTGCCCTGGTCACCCCAGGACAAGGGCCTGTCCTGAAGCTCCTCAGGGCCTCCCAGGACCAGCGCGGCCGCTGCGCTCGGCCCTTGCAGAGGGTCAGCCGTGTGGGTTCTCACGCCGTGTCTGAGGCTCCAGGGAAGCACAGTCTAGCCCCGGTCCCTGCCAGGCCCCGGCTTACTCAGGTCTGCTCTTCTGCGGTGGCTGTTGTTGCTGTGGGTGGACTTGTCCCAGGGGAGCAGGGCCCCGAGGCGCAGGGCCGCCCTTCGTCGCCCACACCTCGGGGCGGGCTCTGCCTTTGCCGCACGCTCCGGTGCTTGCGAGGTTCACTCACCAAGCAGCAGCGAGAGGCCTTAGCACATTGGGAGTAAATATCCGTTTGCTTAAGCCAATCCCTGGATTTCGTAATGATCGCACTGGATTCCACCAAATTAGCAGTCCTTTCAGGCCCAAAGCCCAGCAGCTGTGCGGCATGAGCCTGCCTGGCAGCAGGCCGCGTTCACGCGCTCCGTCCCGCCAGGCTTGCTGCCTGGATGCTCGCCACGCGGCCTGCTGCTCGGCGTGCAGTGCCTTCACCTGGTGCGATGCTGCCCCGGAGCGCCTGCCCCGGCCCGACTTCCCGAGGACTCCTTCCGCTTCGCGGCCGTCACTCCTGTATGTGCCAGGCACGAGGCCAGGCCTGTGGGGATCCCGTGTGTGTCAGGGACGACAGGGAGAGCAGAGACAAACATGTTAAAAAGTGTCGAGTGGAGCCTGGAGCAGCCCGAGGGCAGATCTGGGCTTGGAGTGCAGGTTTGGAACTGCTGGGTCCCGAGCTCTGCAGGGCCCGTGCGTGGCCTCTGGAACCAAGGTCTCTGTTCCTGGCCCGCCCTGCCCCCGCAGAATGGGTGGCACCTGCCCCTCTGGGAGAAGTGACCCCTCGCACTGGGGACTGGTGTGGGACTTCCTGTAACCCCCAGTCAGTGCTTGTGGAGCTTTGGGGGTCTGGCCTTCCTGAGAGCGAGGCAGAGGGCCCAGCCAGACCCCGACCCTATGAGTGGGACACAGCTTCCGCGTGGCCACTCGGGCCTCACACACACCTGGCCTCCTCGCTTCATAGGCTCCATCAGTTCTGCTGCCACTGATGACCCAGGCACTAGGCAGTGGCCATGGCACAGGCTGAGAGGTGGCTGTCCCCAGACCCTGGCCGGTGACGGATGTGGGTGAAGAGGGCAGAGCTGTGGGCTGGCTCACAGGCCTCCTCCTCAGTGTTCTCTGTGCGCAGGCCCGCTCTGGGGGTCCTGTCCTGTCAGCGTGGAAGAGCAGTCACCACCCATCAGCATGCTGCTCAGCCTCGTCTCCGGGGGCAGGAGCGAGCCTCTGCCCATTGAGGATGCAGCCCTGTGACGTCAAGTGAGAGACCGTAGAGAAAAATAGGTTCAGGTTCTTGGAAGCAGTGATGCGGTGATTGGGCTGGCCTTTCGTGAGCGTTTCCTGTGATCAGGCCCTGTTTTACGCACTTTTCCTGGATTAACCTATTGACCCTCAGACAGCCCTGGGAAGGGGCACTGACAGTCACAGTCTCACACGTGAGGGACTGAGCGGGAGGGCTCCCCCCGTCAGCAGCAGAGCAGCCGGCTCTCCCGGAGGCCCGGCTGGGACTTGTTGAGACGGCCTTGCATTTTGTTGCAGGTCTTTGCCCCCAGCTTCCCGTTCCTCTGATGTGGTTTTATGCTTAACGTGGAGCCGGTCGGTGGGACTGTCTTAGTGTTCCGTTCCCACCTTCTCCCCCCGTGGCCCTGCCCCTCTTTCTGCAGCCCGTGCTTTCGCTGTTATTCGTGCTCGTAGCCAGGGGGAGGGCAGGGTGGGCTCGCTGTCCTGGTCCAGCCGCAGACTTAGGCAGGCTGTGTCCCCGTGTCTGGGGTGGGTCTCTCGGTGACTCGGTCCCCCCCCTCCCCCGGTGGTGGGAGGGCCTCTCTCAGGGCTGGTTTCCTTTCCTCTCCTCCAGCTGCAGTGGGTCCCCGGTCCCCTATTGGCTCCCGGCTTGTTCCTTAAGGAGAAAGGCCCAGCCAGGGCTCATGCCTCCAGGCAGCGGCCACTCCTCTCCTCCGGGCCTGCACCCCAGGAAGCTTTCTCCAAGCGCGCTCCCTCCCCCCCCCCCCCCCCCAGCCTGGCCCTGCTGTCTCTCAGGAGCACCTGTGCAGGCTGAGGAGTGGAGCCAGCAAGCAGGCGCCAACCTCCCTGTCCCTGCGACTCCCAGGAGCCTGCGCTCTTGCGCTGGACCACACTTGGCCTTGAGCAGCTGGTGAACTGTGTTTGCCGAGTTCTTACCCCTTCAGTGGTTTATGCCCATGATATCGATGTGGTGACACTGCCTCACAGTGTCCTGCTCTCATCTCCCCGCCCCCCCGCCTTGCTCAGCAGCATCGCACTGGAAGCTGGAAATCAGCCCCGATTCTTATACCACAGAATCAATAAGGGCTACAAAGGAGGGCTTTTCCGCCCCCCATTAGCCGGTTGTTAAACATTGACCAGAACGCATTGCTGGGGGCACCCCCAGGAGGGACCATGAAGAGGGGCGCCTTTTGCTCTAGGGCAGGCTGGGCAGTGGCAGAGGCTGTGTTCAGGCCGCGTCCGCAGGGCAGTCACCAGGCCTCCGGCAGGGCGGCTCACCTGGGGAGGCCCCTCCGTGTGGGCGGTGGTTGGTTCATGCTGCCGCCCTCCCTCCCTCCCTCTCCCCTCAGAGCGCAGCCAGGACAGCACGGCCGTGGCACTCTCGGACTCCAGCTCCACCCAGGAGTTCTTTAACGAGCCCCCCAGCTCGCTGGAGGGCGCCCGGAAACCCTGTGCTGAAAAGAGGCCGCCTGTTCTCAGTTCCCAACCAGGACCAACTGGCAAAGACCTTCCAGGGGCCACAGAGGAAAGAGGTATGGAGACCTCACTCGGGGATTGGAGCTGCTGTGGTGACCTTTTCTTTTTGTTGTTAGTCCTCAGCCAAGGATACTTTCCCATTGATTTTCAGAGAGAGAGTGGAATGGAGGAGGAGAGATAGAAACGGCGATGTGAGAGAGAGACATCCACTGGTTGCCTCCTGCACACACCCTGACCAGGGCCGGGGAACCTGCCGCCGAGGTAGGTGCCCTTGACCGGAATCGCACCCGGGACCCTTCAGTCTGCAGGCCGACACTATCCACTGGGCCACACTGGCCAGGGCTGCTTTGATGTCCATTGGCAGTTGGGCAGCGCCAAGGAAGCGGGCTCTGGAGTGGCCCAGGCCTAGCCTGGCTTCCGTCCTCCTGCTTCCACCTGCTGCCCTGGGGCCTGGGTGGGCGAGTCACTCACCGTCTGGGCCTCCGTTGCTCCTCCTGTGGATGCCAGGCTGCCACGGCCACGCCTGGGTGGTGAGGGTCAGATGAGAGCTCAGCAGGTGCGCATGGCCCTGAGACACACTTGTCGTTGGTGTTGTGACCCCACCCCGGCCCCAGGTAGGAAAGCCCTGTCCACGGCAGGGTGCCCTGTTTTTCTTCTGGATGAGTGGCTACTTCAAAAGCCTTTGGGTTGAAAAGGTCACCAGTGTGTGTGTTTAGTCTGAATCATGTCAGACCTTTCGGAAAGGAGATCTCCCTCTACTCGGCGGGGAGCAGGGCTGACTCTACCCTGGGGTGTGCCCAGCTCTTTGGGGTTCCCAGTCCCTCTGTGGACTTCGTGACCAGGGCGCACGCCAGGCTTGCGGGAGAGAGAGTGCAGGCCAGGCACCCGGTGCTGCCCTGAGGCTGGGACTGGCCGGCCAGCCAAGGATTTTGAAAGCTTTCCCGCTCTGGCCAGGACCAGGCAGGTGCTTGTCAAACAAGAACAACCCCACCCAGACCCATGTGTGGGGGTCCCGGGCCAGGCACCGTTTACCTCATAACCACCCAGGACAGCTCACCCTGATGGCTCCCACGTTACAGGCGAGGAGCCTGGGGCTCAGAGTGGGCGGGAATTTGCCCAGGGTTGGTCTGCACCTGTAACTCCTACCCCGTGCTGCCTCTCCAGGGGGGTGCATGGCAGGGGTGGTTGATGATAACCTGGGCACCCCGGTGTCCGGGCCTGGCCCCGAGCAGTCCCCGCACAGGCCTGGCTGGGAGCATCAAGCTGCAGGAGCTCGCACGTAGGTGGGGCAGGGGGCCTGAGCCATTTGCACTGGGAAGGCCTCAGCGCACAGGACAGATAGCGTTGGTACCAGCCTGCTCCTCTGGCCTCCTCCAGGCGGTCCGTGCCAGTCCTGCGGGCCTGGGGGCCGTCTTTCCCTTGACATTTGCTCCCACCGCCTTCCTTCCATCCCTTCCCGCTGGCCAGATAGCCTTCTTCTGCAGCCCCTGCCGCCCGGCACACGCTCCCCTGAGCCGCCTGCCCGCCTCGGTGGAGCAGCCTGGGAGCCCAGGGGCTGAGCTCGTGGCTCACACAGCCGCCGCCCTGGAGAGGGTGCCGGGGTCTGTGGGCTGAGGCGCTGCGTGGGGAGCAGGTGCAGCCCTTCGGGTGCCTCTCCCGGCTGTTGTGTTCTGTGGTGGCAGCCACCCCCGCCCTGTGGGCTGCTTCCATGCGCACCTGCACAGGCCCTGGAGGTGGGACAGCCCTGTGCCACACAGAGAGCCCAACTCTGCCCCCGCCTCAGGGCCCTGTGTGTGCCAGCTGGACGCCCTGTCTCACGGGAGGAGAGGAGCTGTGCTGCCACCCCCGAGGGCCTCCTCCGCTGGGGCTGGGCCACCCAGGGCAGAGCCTGGCGCTGAGGGACCGTCTTTTCCTTCGTCACTAGGGAGACCCGAGGAGTCCTTGGAGAGCACAGAAGGCTTCCGAGCCTCAGAGCAGGGCAGCCAGAAGCCCGCCGCAGACCCCCCAGCCTCTGCCTGCATCCCCGTCAAGGCCTCCGCGGCTGCTCCCACCCTGTGGGACGGCAGGAAGAGAGGGGACGCCCCCGGGGAGCCAGCAGCCTTCCCGCAGGGGCTGCCGGCCGGGGCCGAGGAGCAGCGCCAGTTCCTCACGGAGCAGTGCATCGCCGCCTTCCGCCTGTGCCTCAGCCGCTTCCCGCAGCACTACAAGAGCCTGTACCGCCTGGCCTTCCTTTACACCCACAGCAAGACCCACCGCGTGAGTGGGCCTGGGGGCGCGGCGTGGAGGGGGGTGTCTTCCCAAGGCTTGCAGCTGGGTGAGCAGGACGAAGGCTGGCAGAGCTGCTGAAGGGCTCGTGGCCTTGCTGGGGGGGTGGGAGAAGCAAGTGCAGGGCCGGGGCCAGCTTTCCAGGTGCCAGTGGTGAGGCCGCAGGCTGCAGTGAGGGTGCGGGAGTGGGCGTGGAGGCTGCTCCCACGCGGCCATAGGTATGGGTGCTTGTGGGTGAAGGATAAAGGCCGAGAGGCTCATCTGACCTTGAGGATCTGGGGAGCGCCTCGCACTCCGCTGTGAGGTTCCCTCATCATCCTGAGCAGGGCCCACGGCACAGCTTCCAGATGCCGGAGGGAGGGGCTCCCTCCTCGGTCCAGGCCTTGCTTGCCCTGGGCCAGTGTCCTCTGGCTGCTCAGAGGCCTTCACCGTGGCCGGCCCTGGGGCTCACCTGTCCATGATCTTCGCAGCCTCTGCTGCTGACGGCGGCCTGGCTCTCTGGAAAGCGGATGAGGCAGCATTTCCTAACAGCGGCCCAGGCTTAGCCTCCAGGAGCTCCCCCAGGCCTTGAACCTGGCATTTCGTGTTTGTGGCGGGATTGTGGCGTGTTACACATTCTTTCACGCTCTCGTCACTCCCCAGGAGGCCCTGTGGAGACAGTGCCCTCGGCGCGGTCTGCCCCCTGTGGAGCTTCATTTCGAGGGGCAGACAGCTGAAAAACGTGCACCTGAGCCCTGACTGGTGTGGCTCAGTGGATAGAGCGTCAGCCTGTGGACTGAAGGGTCCCAGGTGCAATTCTAGTCCAGGGCATGGACCTCGGTTGCAGGCTCGATCCCCACGGGAGGCAACCAGTTGATGTGTCTCTCTCACATCGATGTTCCTCTCTCTGTGTCTCTCCCTCTCCCTTCCGCTCTCTAAAAATCAATGGGAAAATATCCTCAGGTGAGGATTTAAAAAAATACAGCAAGAACATTGTAATAACTACTACAGAGAAGAGAATGGGGTGGCAGGCAGAGGTGGGGTGCTGCTGTGCTCCTTGAAGGCACCCGTTATGCTGAGCCCTGTAGGGTGGCCATGGGCAGAGTGGAGGGCAGCGGTGGGCTGCTGGTGAGGGCAAGCAGCCTGGGCACCTGGCAGGCGTGGGTGGGCGGCCAGGGCGAGGCCAAGGGCCAGGGTGGCAGGAGCAGGTGGGGCAGCGGTGGTCTGCTCTGTCTGGCTGCCTCCTCAGCAGTGTTCAGGGTGCATCCCCCCACCACTTGTTCCCCTGCTAGTGTTCGTGCTGGAACCTGAGGCCCCCTCCCCACACTCAGGTTCCGCCCGGAGCTCTCTGGCCGGCTGGGATAAGGGCCTTTTGCTGTCAGCTGGTCGTGAGGTTCACGTGAGTCAGTGCTGCCTCACCAGGCAGGACACGTGCCCTCAGAGCGAGCAGCCTGCCTTGCAAGCCCCACGTGCTTGAGACTCCGATGGGAGCAGAAGCCCTCACTGAGCAGTGTGTGCCCATCCCAGTGTGCACCGCGTCCGACCCAGCCCCCTGTGGCACACCCTCCTGTGACAGGGCAAGGGCCTGTCCGTGTGGCAGCGTAGCGGCCTGGCTGCTCCAGCCCCATCAGATCCCCTTCTCTGTGGACGAGCCCAGGCCCCATGTCTGCTTAGGGCTCACCTGGCTGGAGGCTGCCTCCTGCCTGGCGGGCCTGCAGTGCCTGCTAGCCCCAGGCGAGCTGCTGGCCTTCGACTTCAGAGGCAGCTTGTGTGCTGGTGTGAGCCCCTGCCCCTCACCCGTCTGCTGTGGGAACAGTTCCCTACGTCCTGTGCCACCAGCTCACCTGTGGAACCTGCAGAGCCAGGGGAGACGAGAGAGCCTCTGGGTAGGGCCCTTCTGGCTGGGTGGGTGGGTATGAAGGGGTTGCAGTCGCCCCCTCCCGGCCCCGGCATGCAGGTGAGCGTCCCGGGGCAGGTGGTGAGCTTCACGCTCCAGCCCGACCGTGGGACAGGCGTTACGTGGTGCGCCGGCCACGGAGCAGGGCGTCCCGCCTTCCTTCAGCCCTGCCCCCTTCTGTACACACAGGGTGGCCCCCTGCAAAAGGACGCCGTGCCCAGCCCCGTGCGGAAGCCTGGGCGGCGGCTGCAGATCCCAGCCAGCTCTGTGGTTTGCAAAGTGAAAACTCAGTACTTTTCTCAACTTGGGAATCTCAGCTATGCGTTTCAGAGCTGTTGGCCACATGGTTTGAGGTTCTGTGGTGCCTTTGGGGCCAGAAGAGGGGGGCCAGGTGGCCCGTCAGGGCGGCTGCCTGCCTGGTCCTCCTGCAGGGAGAGTGGTCCCAGCAGTGCCGGGCGGAGCGCTCTGCCGGCAGCAGCCGTGACAATGCGTTTCGGCTTGGACAGAAGAGGGAAGCGGCCGCCGGCTCGCTGTCCCGCCACCACAATGCGACAGAACCGCTGGGGTTCTCCTGCGTCCCCTCCCGCGTGGTTCCTGTGCGTTTCTCTGGGTCACTCACTCATTCACTCCGCAGCTGGCTGCGCAGCGGCGGTTGTGCGAGGCCGTGGAGGTGCTGGGGATGCCGAGGGAATCCCTCCTGATGGCCGTTGTGCTCGGGGCCCATGGAGAGCTGAGCGCAGGCCAGGGCCTATGCGTGACTGCGCTGGGGAGGAGTCCAGGCTGATTGACTAGTGAAAGGCAGACCTCGTGCTCCAGGCGCCCCCAGCACAGGGCTCTCCAGCTGTCTCTCCTACAGCTCTGCCCCCAGCGCTCCCACCCCGGGCCCCCCTGGGCCCCCTCCTCCACATGTCGTGGCAGCCTCCTACCTCGGCCTCAGACTGTCCTCTCGGCCGGTGGGCTCGTCATTCTCTGCAAGCTCCAGCCTGTTCCCTTCCTTCCGGCCTTTCCCTGAAGGAACATCTGCCTCCTCTCTCCATGGACCTCGTCCTGGTCTGGCCCTGAGGAGCCATCAGTAGGGAAGTCAGACCGTGGGCCTGTCCTCCTGGGGCTGACAGACCAGCAGGAGCAGATGGCAGAGCTGTTGGCCAGTCAGTGGGAGAGGCTGTTTAAGATGGCGGGGGGTGTGGGGGGTGTGGGGGGGGAGGAGTGAGATGGTGCCAGGCCCAGGTGAGAGACTCAGAGACTGGGGGAGGGGGGTGCAGGTGTGGCTAGGGGTCTAACGGGGAGATGGGAGGGGAAAGGCGGGGTGTGGGGGTCGTCTGCAGTGTGGAGCTGGCGAGGCCTTCGAGCAGAGGGGTGCCTCTGGTCAGGACCCCTCCCCGCCCGGCCCTTCTCAGCGCATTTCGTGCCCAAGCCTCAGGGGACTCAGTGTCCCAGGAAGGTCGGTGCCTCGCTCTGGCTTGCGTGTTCCTCCCATCGCAGAGGTGGGGGTGAGCCAGAGGCGCTGGGCAGGGGCGGTGCTGCCGTGGCCGGTCCCCTAGTGGCCGGCTCTGTGCCAGGCACACAGCACCTGACCAGGCAGATTGGTAAAGTGATTTGCCCGCCTGTGGGGCAGGGGAAGCGCCCACGTCTGAGTCCCGCTGGCCTGGACCAGAAGGCAAGCCTGGCTCCACCGCTTCCTGGCTCTGGGGCCTTGGGCTCGCTCTTGAGCCTGTCTGAGCCTCCGTTTCCAAACCTCATCGCGACCAGGACAGTTACATGGGACGAGGAGGAGTTAGGGCTCTGGCTCAGCCCACGGGCACGAAGCCTGCCTCGCCACAGCGCCAGGCTCTGCTCTGGGCGCAGCATGCGGGTTAGCCCCTGCCCCTCACCCACCGGCCTGTCCCTCCAGCTCCCATCTGGGGCCTCAGGCGCGAAGGTCTGACTGGACACTCTGTGCCTTAGCTATCGACCGGCTCTCCCTCCGGCAGGGCTGGAGGCGCTGGGAACACGCGCTCCGCGGGGTGCGCCGGCCCGTCTGCAGGGGGCTAATTGCCCATCCTGGTTGGGGCTGGAGGCTGGTGCTTGCTCTCTCCTCAGGGGCCTGGTTTCCAGGTCTGAGAGCCCCGGCCGGGCCTCCCCGCTCTGCCTGGCGGTCGGGCCGGGCGCAGTTGGCGCTGGGGTCCGAGGTGGCAGACAGAGGACGTGCCTTTCTGTCCCACAGCCTTGGGCCTGGACAAGATCCCCGCCCGGCCGCCTCCCTCGGCCTCCTTACCGTGCTCGCGCTTCCCACCAGCAGGAAGGCTCTGTTGACCTTATTTTTTATCTTATTTTTTTGTCTTCTTAAGAAAATGATGGCCACTGTGGAGGTGCTTCTTCAAGCCTTGTTCCCTCATCGAACCCCCCAAAACTGCTGCTATTTCAAGGGGTTCCCGGGTACCTCCCACAAGCCCCCAAGGAGCCCCAGAAGAGGTGTGGGGTCGGAGCGCGGGGTAACTCTCTCAGGCCTCCCGTGCAGCCCGCCAGCCTGCGCCCTGGGCCTCCTGGGCGGGTGCAGCCGCCGCAGCCCGACAGCAGCTCCCACCGGCGGGAGCAGAGGCTCCAGGGCAGCAAGCCAGGGAGCTGGGTTTGCGCTTTAGTCTGAAGTCGTGACTAAAGGAACTATTTCCTAAGTTCCGCCCGGCCAGCAGTGGCCAGAGTGGGAGCAGGTGGGACCCGCTCGCAGGCTGAGGGGGGAGAGGAGTCTCAGTGGTTGGGACACGAGGTGAGGGAGGCCTGGCCCCGGGTGCAGAGGCAAGCGAGGCACCTGCGGGGGGATGGAGGGGCGGGGGACTGGTCGGCTGGGGATTGGGCCGGGGTGGGGGCTGTGGAAAAACAAGGGTCTGGCATTGTGAGGTCCTGGGCTCAGGCCCCCTCTGCCCCGCAGCCTCTCCCTGCAGCGAGCTCTGTCCTGAGTGGGTGAGATGGACATGCAGGCGCTGGGCACTGGCCAGTGGAGAGAAGGTGGCTGCCCGGTGGCTGGTGGGAAGGGCTGCTCTCTGGTTCGGTGAGAAGGCCAGGCCGCCAGATTCACACCTGCTGCACTCTGCCCCCCGGCACCACCGAGGCCAGCAAACTCTGTTCTCAGCCTGCCAGGCTCCCCAAGGGGCACCATCGCCCAGAGAGCACGGCCTGAGCACTTGGACAGAGCTCCCTCCCCGCAAGCACGCAGGCCCCTGGCACCCTGCAGAGCCCAGGACTGGCCATTTGGGCTAGTGGGGGTCTCCTTGCAGAAAGTGGGGCGCTGGGCCCTGGCAGCAGCTTTACAAGGTTGGTCAGGTGAGGGGTCCCTACTTGTGCCCTCCTTGGGCAGTCTGAGGCCACGCTCTCCTCGTCAGCTGTGCTGGGCAAGAACTCAGTCCCAGGAACGTGCCCACAGCCAGGTGATCACAGCCAGCAGCCCAAGCTGCCTGGGGCTGCGGGATCGATGTCGGCAGAGCTGCTGCTCCTCGCTGCGGTGCCAGTGCAGCCTCCCTTCCCGTGGGTGCCCTGAGCTGCCCACACACTCACTTCCAACCTACTTCTTGTTTCCCCAGAACCTCCAGTGGGCCCGCGACGTGTTGCTAGGCAGCAGTATCCCGTGGCAACAGCTGCAGCACATGCCGGCACAGGGGCTCTTCTGCGAGAGGAACAAGACCAATTTCTTCAACGTGAGTACTTTGCCTTGTTGATTTCCACGGCTGCTCGCTGCCACTGCTTTCCACCAGAGGCGTGCGAATGGACCCTGGGGGCGCTCCCAGGCCACGGGTCTGGGCATCCTCGGGCAGGCACGGTGGTGCAGGCGAGTGCGCCAGGCTCAGGTGGGCCGTGCTTGCTGAGGGACTCCTGGCGTCGCTGCCCATGGCGGGCAGTGGTGAGGGCTCACGCCCACAGCCCCGCTGCCTCCTGAGCAGCTCCTGGGCCCTGTGCGTCGGCCACCTGGGGCTCTGATGGAAGGGACTGAAGCTGGTCTGCTGCTTAATAACAAGTGTGGCGAGTGGCTGGGCTTCCAGGGCCCTTCCAGCCCTCACATCCTCTGCAGAGTGAGACCCATGGCCGGGCAGGACACGGCCAATCCCCGAGGCCCCTGGGACCTGCCTCCCTTCCTCATTCTCTCCGTCCTGCAGACAGATGGCCCTTCACTCTGCTCTGCATCGAGTCCCCGCCGCTCCCACCGTCCCAGCACAGCCAGCTCCCGCTGGGATGGCTCTGGCCAGTCCCGGCCGCTGAGCTTTGGTTTCCCCTGTATCTTCCTGGATCCCTTGTTACGTGAGAGGAAGTGCAGAGCGGCCTGGCTTGGACAGGAGCCAAGGAGGGCAGGCCTCAGGTCTAGAAGGTGTGACGGAGGCTGGTTCGGGAAGCATATGGACAGGGCGAGGTCCCCTGAGAGCGGTGGTGGGGTGTCTGGGTGCATGGCCTTCCTCTCCCAGGCGGTGAGCTTCTTGCGGCCAGGTGGGGGCGCTGGAGCTGGGAGCCCCGCGCCTGCCAGCCCTGTGTGGGTGCTTTATGGACAAGTGGTAGATGGCATCTATCGTCTCCGTGGGACCAGGGCATTGGCAGTGAGAGAGAGCTCCTCCCACCCGCACGCCCAGGCTCGGCCGCTGCCCCACCACAGCCTCTGTCCCTGGCCCGCTCCCAGCCGGCATCCTGGACTCTGCTTCCTTAGCGCTTCTCTTTGGAGGGGGATGGGCTCCTGTGTTCATGGACAGAGGCAGACAGACACTCGCACCTTTCCTGATGAAGTCCCGAGGGACAAGCACTCCCCGCTGGCTGGTGACGGGGCGGCCTTCGGGCCCCCACCCTTGCTGCTGCTCAGGTGCACCTCCAGGGGGACACCTCTAGCCGGACCTTGCACCCAGCACGTCAGAAAGTGTGACCTGCACCGCTCACACATGAGCTGTGCGCAGACTGTGCCGGGTGTGGGAAGCGGTGAGCCCCCACGTGGAGCAGCTCCCAGGCAGCCATGCTGCCCGCTGTGGTGGGCGTGTCTCTGACAGCCGGGCTGCAGGGCAGGATTGGCAGCTGGTTCTTCTCCGGCTCATGTGCACTGGGTGACCGCCTGGGCGGGGCAGAGCACGGGCGGACCAGCCCTCGAGAGGCAGGAGGACAGGGGAGGGCAGGGTCATCGGGGACCCTGACCTGCCATCCCTCTAAGCAGCCCTGTCCTGGGCCACCCGCACTGCCCAGCCGTGGCGTTGCTCACCCAGGAGGCTGTCTGGGGCCCCTCCATCCTCTGGGCCAGGCTGAGGGACCCTCCTGCTCTTCTTCAGGGACACAGTTCCGCCACATCGCAGAGCCCGGACTCCTGCTCTGCTCATCCCGGCGCCGTGTCCTTCTCAGAGGGACCCGGGTGTGTGGTGGGCTGTTCTGTGTTTTCTGGTGTGTCTACAAATCAGCCAAGTGTGTCACGCAGCGTTAGAAAATGTGCGTGTGCATGTGTGTGTGGGGGGGGGGATGCTTTTAGGCAACTTTTTTCACTGACACGAAGTCTCAGAGTTTCCCTGTGAGAAGTACAGGCCGGCCCACTCTCTGCAGTTGCTACCCTGCATTGCGTCGTGCGTGGGGTGAGCACTTAGCTTGTGCGCACACAGGCTGCAGGGGCCTCCCTCCGCGAGCGTCACTGTGGTGTCCCGCGTTCCTCCCAGAGTCCCTGGCCGGCCTGGCCTGGCGCAAAGGAGGTGCTTATGAGCGTCTGTGGAGGTTTCATCCACGCCCTCTCCCTTAGCAGCTGGCCCCCAAGCATGCTCTGGCCCAGCCAGCGCGGCCAACGGAGGGCCCTGCCCGGGGCGCTGGGAGGCTCGCCGCAGAGCCGCATGCATGGCCCCTCGTGCAGGACGCTCTGGGCACGGGGAGCAGGGGAGGAGCCTCGAGGAGTCTGGTGGGCTGGAGGCAGGGCTCCCACTGGAGGGTGGGTGCTCTCAGCAAGGAGGGGGCCTGGATCAGGCCTGCGCAGTGCTGGCGAGCCCCTGGGGGCGTGCGGGGCGGTGCTGGACTGCGCGGAGTAGAGACGTGGCCTGTAGCAGGTCCCAGCAGTGAGGGTGGATGCGCATTTGAGAAAGGGGTGAACTTGTGCATTTCCAGTCCCACTGTTTCCAGCTTGGCTGAGAGGGAACCTTCCCGCCCCCCTTCTTTCCGCTGTCCCCAGCAGGTCGGCGCTCTGGCAGGGCTCTGCCCCAGGCAGGCCAAGGCCTCCCCGAAGGCCCCTGGCTCCAGCCCGCCCCGCCGGGCAGGAGGGTCTGGTTTTTGCTCAAAACAGAGCTAGAGTTGTCGGGTTTTTTTGGGGGAGGTCCTGGGCCCCCCCCCCCCCCCCCCCGCCCCAGGGAGGCCTGGCCTAAGCCCCGGAGCCTGTCCTGGCACAGGTCACAGCATTGGGGTGGGCGGGTGGGGACAGGGGAGACATGGAGGCTGGGGTTGGCCCGGGGCAAGAGGCCTCCTGAGACAGTGCCATCCCTGCGGGAGGGGGGCACGGGGCTCTCTCCCTGGGCAGAGGGTCCAGGAAAGTGCCCGGAGCTCCCAGGGCTTCCCGTGCAGGTGTGCACACCTCTGGCAGGAGGGCCGTGAGCTGGGCTGCTCTGGCCACAGTGAACTTCTCTTCCTCTTGTAGTTGATGCAGAAACGTTCCCTTAGCAACCAAGCTAGAGCGGGTGCTTCCTCCTTCCCCAAAGTGTCTGCTTAGCTTAGCAAGGAGCTTTGTCTTGTTGCAACCCAGTTCCCAGCCACCGTGAAGCAGCACAGGGGGCCGAGGCCGGGCCAGCACTGCTTCCTGTTTCCGAGGCTGTGCCGGCTGGCAGCGTGGGGCCTGCGTGGGGTGGGGGGCGGGGAGGTGCTGCCTGCTGCAGCGCAGCCGCCCTGCCTCGGGGCCTCCACAGCCTGCAGCACGGGGGGCAGCCCATGTCCTGGGGGCTGGGCCCGAGGTCACGGAGAAGAGCACAGATTTTGGGCTCAGGCAGGCTCAGCTCCTGGCCACTTCACCTCTTACACGGCCCCACACAGGGCACAGGGCTGGCCTGGGCAGGTGGTCCCAGTGGACAGGCGTCCTCAGCACCTAGTGGCGCATCCACACTTCCCCTCAGGACAGAAACCAGCCCGCACAGAGCCCGGCTGCTTTCTGGATCCCAGTGGCACCTCAGGAGGGCAGTGCTGGTATCGGAAGGGATATGGCTGGGGAGGGGGTGATGGGAGCCCCAGCTCTTGCCTGGCCAGGGCCCTCCAGAGGCTCCAGGCTGCCCTGGCTCAAGTGGGGCCTTCCCTGCTCGCCACGGGGACCCGCTTCTGCGCGGCCTGGCTGGGCTGTCGGAGCCCGTGTGTGCTGTCCTTGGTCACCGCTGTGCAGCTCTCCCCTGTCTGCCTGTCGTCCCCAGCAGACAGGTGGCTGCCAGTTCTTCAGCAGCACAAACGGCCGCCTTCCCCGGTCGCCTTCCTCACCGTGCAGTCTCCAGGACGAGCACCTGGACAGAGGCCGGGCTGCAGGTCCCCTGGACAGAGCCTCCACGCATCCCCAGGCGGTTCTGCAGAGCTGAGCCAGGGTCCCTCCCCCCAGGCCTCCCCAGCCGCTGCTCTGCCCCCTCCTGGCCCTCAGACCACAGACCACTGTCATGCTGGCCCATCTGTGGGGACCAGGGAGGCTCCTTCCCGCCTGGGGCCAGTCCCTCTGTCTGCCGGGCTCTGGCGAGAGCGCGCACCTAGCGGCCGCCACGCAGGCCCGGTGCTTCTCTCGGCCGCGATTCTGTGTCGCTCACAGTGGCAGGAGGTACAGTTGCCACAGCCGTCTTTATCTGCAGCGTTTATGCGCTGCCCCCGCCCTGGCGCTCCTCTGACAGCAGGGCCCTCACTGGGGGGACAGGTTTCTAACGCCCCCGCCACCATCCTTCTTGGCCAGACTCAGCCACACCCTTCTCTGTGACTGCCAGTGGCTGTGTGACCTCGGGCTGTCCTGTCCCCCTCTCCCCCCCCCCCCCCCGCCCCGTGAGCAGATGCCAGGTGGTAAGGAGGAGGCCTTTGCAGAGGCACCCCAGCCTCTGACCTCGGGCATGGCCCAGCCTGAGCCCCTCTGTCTCAGAGAGAGAGCCGCTGGTCCAGGTGGAGGCCCCGGGCGGGGACCTCCTCTAGAGCAGCGTTGCCATCGTCCTCCTGATGCCTCCTCTGGCCGGTGCCAGCCGCAGGGCATGCCCAGTGACCGTGAGTTCCTGTCACCCACAGAGTTCCCGGGACAGGAACTCGAGGAAGCAGCAGCCCCCGAGCACGGGGAGCAGGCACCATCCTGGCTGCGTGCCCACCGGGCCTGGGTCTGTGCCTGAGGGAGCCCTTCCCTCCCACCCCTTCCAGCCCCCGAAAGGCACCGCGCTGAGGGCCCTGTGGAGCCTCTGCCTCACTCACATCCACCCCAAAGCTGAGTCACTGACACCGCCCCGGATGCCTGCCCAAGTTCAGGGCTTTTGCTGCAGACTTCGCAGAACCAAGGCAACGCCCAAGGGAAGGCGTGGTTCTCCACCAGCTGG